GGAATAACTTAATACATACATCTTAAGAGTGCAGATGGTTTTACAGATATAAAACCCGTGTAACCACCGCTCAGATAAGACACAACACACTTCCAGCGCCCCAGGAATTTTTAATTGTCGGCCACAGACTATTTTTAATTGTCCTTTTTGCACTTCTCCGGGAATAGGGAATAAACCGGCGAGGGAGGATCGCCTCCGAGGACACAAAATTTCTGTGTCCTCTCCCAGCGCTGCACTGGCCCCTCCCAGCGCTGCACGGGCCTTGTCGGTGGTGCACTCCTGGCAAAGCACGGTAGATACTGAGCTGACCTAACACCCTATGAAGTCAGTACTACTTGGTTTACACCCAGGTTACCGATGAGAGCACCATGACTTATTGAATAAATTGTGTAAATAGTGGAGCTTGAGACGCCCAGGAAGGTCTTCCTCACCTAGACGTTTGTCTCCCCCTACCCTTCCCTAGTCGTTGGCCTCTTTTATTTTTCATTTAATCTTTTGGTCTTTTTAAAAAATATTTTTGTTGATTTCAAAGAGGAAGGGAGAGCCCTAACTGGTTTGGCACAGTGGATAGAGCATCGGCCTGCGGACTGTAGGGTCCCGGGTTTGATTCCGGTAAAGGGCACATGCCTGGGTTGCGGCTGGATCCCCAGTGGGGGGTGTGCAGGAGGCAGCCAATCAAGGATTCTCTCTCATCATTGATGTTTCTCTCTCTCTCTTCCTCTCCCTTCCTCTCTGAAATCAATAAAAATATATTTTTAAAAAAGAGAGAGATAAACATCAATGATGAAACCCTGCAACCCAAACCAGGGACATGCCCTTGAAAGGAATCAAACCCAGGACCCTTCAGTCCGCAGGCCCATGCTCTATCCACTGAGCCAGACCGGCTAGGGCGGTTGCTGGCCTCTTTTAAAGGGTGATAAAATAAAATGCACTGGGCGCCCTGGCCGGGTGGCTCAGTTGGTTGGACCATCCTCCCATGCACCAAAAGGATGCAGGTTTGATTCCTGCTCAGGACACATACCTAGGTTACCGGTTCGATCCTCGGTGAGGCCCCTGCAGGATCAACTGATAGATGTTTCTCTCTCTCTCTCTCTCTCTCTCTCTCTCTCTCTCTCTCTCTCTATCTCCCTTCCTCTCTCTCTAAGAATCAATAAAACATTTTTTTTTTTTTTTTTATAAAATCAGTGGAAACACAGCCTCAGGTGAGGATTTTTTAAATGTGCTGGGAGAGCGGTTCGTAGCATATCTCTGTGCAGTTGTGTGTGTAGTTCCTTCTACTTGGGACTCTACTCTCTTCCCCAGGTTTTGTCCTTGAGGCAAGCAAACTCCTACTCATACTTCAAAACCCACCAGGGCATCCTCTGAAGCCTTCCTAACTGAAATCTTCCCTGGCGACTCCCCGCAACCGAGGGTAAGACTCTCTCCTCTGTGCTGCGTCCAACACATGCACCAGCGCCCACCTCCCCCCGGATCCCAAGGGCTCCTCGAAGCGCCTCTAAGCTCAGCCCGCAAGGCGCCTGGCACACAGTGGGTCCTCAGTAACTGTGTGCTTGGAACTGAAAGCGGAGAAGAGGTTTGGGACCCTTGGTTTCTCCTCTCTGTGCAAATGGGGCCGCCGTGGCCCTGCCGCATGTCACTCAAAGGTGCTGGGCAGGACCGCAGGAAGGGAAAGGCTGCCCGCAGCCCACCCGACTCAGGTAGGGAATGGACTCGCCCGCGCCTCGCGGGCCGCACCTCGGGGCTGCCTGGGAAGAGTCCATTCCCCCCACGGGGGAGCGTCCCCTCGCCGAGGCCAGAAGAACCTACAGCGGCCCCGGGGACCCGGAGGGAGACCTGGGAGCCCGGGCCCACGGCGCCCCCTTCCCTCCAGGCCCCTCCCCTGCGAAAGGCACCGATTATGTGGAGGCGTGTCGTCAGGATGGTGACTTTGACGTTCCAGCCCCGCGTTCCTTCCACACAATTGGAAGCACCTGACAGGATGTTGAATACGGTGGGAAAATATGCAAAGAGCGAGGACCAGGAAGGAAAAAAGATGGCACGCGCTTCTTGTGTGTGTGTGTGTGTGTGTGTGTTAATATTAAAAAAAGATTTTTTAAATATTAAAAACCCAAAGAAGTATGTGCAATCTGACTTTGAACATATGTTTTGCTTTATTAATTATTTTTAAAAAAGAATCCTTGCCTTTGAGCTGAAGGAAATGTCCCTCTGGGCTTCCCCTCCATCGAGCTTTTACCGCAGACACATTTTAAGTGTCAGGAAAGTGAGGCGCTGAGGGTGAGGGACTCGCCTGGAACCACCTGGCAAAGGGGAAATAGTGTGTGATGGTGCAGGCGGCCGGGGTGCGGGCATGGGCCACAGCCAAGGGTTTCTAATGCGGAGGCCTTTCCCTCTGCTCCACGGAGAAGGGGGGGGGGGGGGTTGAAAAATGCTCCACCTGGAAGATGGGCTGGACCTGAGCAAGGCAGGGCTGATCACTAAGGACAGACAGGGTGGTAGAAGTGCGGGAAGAGATCTATGCGACCTGGGGAAGCAAGAGACAAGTCTGAGCCTCAGCTCCCTCATCTGTAAATTGGGGGAGATGAGCTCCCGGTCTTGAGACATAGGGAGTATCGATTCCATAGGGAAGACTAGATACAAAGGGGCCAAGGGACCGGTCAGCAGTACTTCTGTCTTCATTATCCCCTTTAACAGATGGGAAAGCTGAGGCCCAGAGCGGGGCCATGGCAGGCTCAAGGCCACTGCGGCCCTAAGGTCTTGCCGCCTGGTTTCTTTCCCCTCTGCCTCGCCCCTCAGACCTCCCCTGGCCTTGGCCTGTCCCCCTGGGGCTCCCCTGGAGAATCAGGGAAGAGGAGGATCCTAGCCCTGCTCCCGCTCCTGCTGGCAGTGGGCGTTGCTGCTCAGGAGGACAGATGTTTCACCAAATGGCAAATGCACGTGCTTTCCCTGGTTTGGGAGGAGGTGGGCGCTGAGAGGGAGATGCCAGCCGGTTGGGCAGAGAACTGTAGCCACACCTGAGGTATTTAAATAGCCACCGCCTTCTCTGGGCATCAGTGGGAGGCATCTGGGCGGGCAGGGCTGGGGGAGGGGGAGGGGACAGAGCAGCTCATTCAGAACCTGTCACAGCCCCAGGATGAGTGCCTGGCTCCTCCCCCCAGAGGGACTTGGACCACCCACCTGGCCTACTGAGGCCTCAGTGGCCATCACCAGCAAGGTAAGGACTTAGAGCCTGTCACCGGTGCCTGCTGAGGCTGAATGGAGAGAACCTGGTTTACTACTTGACTGCTATTGTCATCTCAACCTCTGTGCCAGGGCAGGAGTCCCCACTGCAGCATCCCTGGCAAATGGGCCCTCACCCCCTGCCCCCCACCTCCCATGACCAGGAACTCATCACCTCCCACAAAAACCCACAGTGTGATGTGATGGGTCGATGGCATGAACCCTGAAGTCAAACTACGTGTGGGAATCCAGGCTCCACTGTTCAGTGTCTGTGGGACCTTAAGCAAACTACGTAACCTCTCCATGCCTCAGTTTCCCCAGTGCAAAGTGAGACTAATAACAGTACCTCCCTCGTGTTTAGATCAGTGCCTCTCAAGCTTTCCTGTGCACACAAACCACCCAGGAATCTAGTTTAACCAAAGATTCTGGTTCAGTAGGTCTGGGGTGGGGCCTGGGATGCTGCCTTCCCAGCAGGTGAAGCAGATGTGCTGGTCCTTGGACCACAGTTTGAGTCTCCAAGGACTGCCTCGTACTGGAAGTCAGGATGAGGGGGCCATGAAGGGTCATGGGTAGCAGGAGTGGGGTGGGAGGCCAGTAATTTAGGGAGAGATGAAGGCCTCCAGGGGGAGAAGGGAAAGGGGTGTGTGGTAAGGCCCCTTGGCTCAGGTGGTTCACTCCTACAGAGGCAGAGACCAAAGCCCAGAGAGGGTGGCTGACCTGCTCATGCCACACAGCACTGGGAGGACTGCTGCCCACCTGTGGTCCTTCCCCACGCCCCCTTCCTGCCTCCCAGCTCTCTGGCCAACAGCCCCCAGCCCCTGGAGTCTCTTCTGGCCTGCGCTGCTGTGTTACAGCTTGTCATACCAAGAAGGAAACATTAGTGAGGTCAACCTGACTCCAAACCTAAGAGCCGTTAGATACCACTGTTTCCCCCCAACAGGTCAGGTCAAGGTGGCTACTCAAATAAACATGGGGGGTGGCAGGCTCCTCACCCCACCAGGCCCAAGGAGGAGGTGTTCAACCCAGGGTGAGGACAACAAAGCCGTGGGTCACAATGGATGGGGTGCCTCCAACCCGCTAGGCTCCGGCCAGCACTGGAGTGAAGCTTCGTGTTAGGGCTGGAGAGCAACACAGTCCTCAGGCCATTTGTGCGCTTCCGGCCACAGGAGAACCAGGAGCAGGAAGAACTTGCTGGACGCCAGGAGTCAGACCATGTAAGGAATGGAAACTGTCTTGAAGACACCTGATCACACACCTGCATCCACCCCAGCCCCAGCCCAGCTCAGCCCCCAGACCACAGGCGACAAGGGCTTCCGGCCAGTGACTGCACCTAAGGATGGACTCCTGCTCCTGGCGGGGCCATCAGCCACCCCATGTCCCCTTGGGCCGGTGCTGGCCAGCCCTTCCCTTTGGAGGTCCCATCCCCCAGCCCCTTTCCCTTAAATAAATTCAAATTGCCTTAAACCACCATCCGAGATGGCTCTTTAGCCTGCCCGCGTGCACCATCCCCTCTACCCTCTCGCTCCTGGCCCCGGGGTCACGAGGGGCCCCTGGCCTGCCCACGGTCACCTCCTGGCGGCCCCCGGGTTCTGGGAAGGCGGAGCCCGGCTCGGCGGCCACCTCCCGGGGCCTCGGCGGCGCGGAGCCCTCGTTGGCCCAGAGCGGAAGCCCCCGGGCCGGCCGGGCCGCCCCGCCCGCGGGAGCCGGGGCTCGGGGGCCGGGCCGGGGGCGGGACGTCGGGCGGCGGCGCTTCCTGGCTCCCGGGCGGCGGCCCGGCCACGTCACCGGCCGGCAGAGCGCGCTGCGGAGCGGGCCGGGCCGAGCGGCTGCGGAGGCGGACGGCGCGCGGGACCGAGGGCCGCCGGGGACGTGGCAGCCGCCCTGCCCGCCAGAAAGTTTCCCGGAGTCGGCCGCGCGCGGGAGCGGGCCGGGCGCGCCGCGCCATGAACGTGTTCCGCATCCTCGGCGACCTGAGCCACCTCCTGGCCATGATCCTGCTGCTGGGGAAGATCTGGAGGTCCAAGTGCTGCGCGGGTGAGGGGCGTCCGGGCGGCGGGCCCGAGGGGCCCTGATCTGCTCAGGGTGGGGCTTCGGCTGGGGGTGGAAGAGTTTCCAGAGCTCAGCTTCCAAAGATACTGTCAAGTTGTCCCTGTCAAAGGGCGCCCTGGAGATGATGGAGGGAAGGTGGGCTCGCGCCTTCACGCCCCCCCACCCCCCATTGCCACTGCTCACTGGAAGAGGGGGGTAAGGGGCGGTGACACCCCTCTGCCTCCAGGGATTCCCTTTGCTCCGGCAGCCGGGCATTGAGGCCATTGTTCTCTCTTCCCTCCCTCAGGCCGGGGTGGGAGGGGAGGATGGGGGCAGAGGAGGTTTGAACAAGGTGGCCCCCAACTCTGTCTCCTCTTTCCTTCTCCACCCCACTCTGTCCTGCCCCCTCCACCCCCTCCAGTGCCCCCCTGTCCCCGCACCCTGCCTGGGTGTGGCATAGGCGTCTGTGATGTGGCAGGAGGGCCCAAGCCCAGCCCAGGTGGGCACGGAGCTGCCCCTGGGCAGCAGCCTGCGGAGGGCAGGAGGGCCCACTCTTTTGCCCTGTAGTCTGGCTGCCCTGCTGGGGGTTTGGAGGAGGTTCAGGGCTGGACTGGTGGTGGCCAAGCAGACCCAGTGCAGGAAGAGGCTGCCCAGGCCTCCTGCCGCCATCTTTGCCTGCTAGGGTCCTGCCGGCCTGCCCTGTGCTTGGCACTGGGGGGAGGAGATGCAGAGATGAGGGTGGACTTCCTGTGGGGGCCTGGGAGGCAGAGGGCCAGCCCTGAAGGCTTCCTGAAGGTGCAGCTCTGTGCTGGGTCCTGGTAGACGGCAGTGTTACCAGGAAGGGTGTGCTGCGTGGGGGACACGGGGTGCAAAAGTCCAGAGGTCACAGAGGGCAGGCACATCCCTGGAGGGGTGAGCAGCCCAATTGGGGGTGGTCTGGGAGGTGAGTCTGGAAGGAGGGTGGTTTATATGTGACAGGGTCTTGTTTGTCAAGCTAGGGAGTTGGTACTGGGGAGCCATGGAAGGCTTGGGAGCAAGGGAGGGCGCTCAGAAGGGGACCTGAAAGCTGTGCAGAGGGTCCAAGAGCGGAGGCAGGGAGAGCAGCGTGGAGGCCACCAGCCTGGGAGGTTGGGTGCTGATGGGAGGGTCACTGCAGAGGGCGGCATTCTGGACTGGGAGGCCATTCGGGTTTGGGGTTTCTGGAGAGATTGGCACTCACGGCTCGCACTCGGGGGAAGGGGGCCAGGAATGCTGAGAGGGGTGTTTGGGGTCAGAAGGTGTCAGTCAGTGATGGGCAGAACCAAGCTTGGACTTGTCCCTGCACTTCCGTGGAGGACTCTGGGCTGGGTGTGCAACCATGACCAGGAGGGGGCGCTGTTCTCCAGCCCATTCTGCCCGGCACTGTGCTAGGTCCCTGGCATACAGCACAGGCTGGATCCTGGGCTGAGGAAGCGGACTCTGTAGCCGTGGGAGACCATTAATAAGCAACAGTAGCGACTGAGTAAATGACCCGGTTTGTTAGGGGAGAGAGAGGACAGCCTGTGCGTGCCAGAGGGGGCTTGGCACAGGCCTGTTGAGTGTGTGAGGGCGAGGTGCCTCGATGCCAGCCCTATCAGTCCCGAGAGCAGGGCCCGGTGTGACCCCGCTGACTCAGCCCTGGAGGCAGAGGAGACTGGGGCTTGCTTCTTGCCTGCCCCTGACTCAGGGGGTGACCTTGAGACTCGGTTTTCCCATCTGTCGATTGGGAGGGAGGGCTGCGCCTGGGCGGTGGCCCCATTGTGCTGAGGTGCCCTCAGGGACTCTGGCCAGGCCCTGACGCGGCTCCCTCCCATGTCCCGGGTCTCCATGCCCCGCTTGCTTTGGTGGAAATGACGCCTTGCTCTCAAAAGAGTGTGGCAACCATGGCACTCCAGACCACCAGGGCCCCCAGCACTGCGGGCGGTGTGGTGCAGCCCAGGGCCTGGCAGTGAGGATGGCGATAAGGGAGGGCTGGGGGAGGCCGTGTGAGCCGGGTGGCCAAGCACCCCCACCAGGCTGCTTCCTGGGCCCTCCTAGTGGGGCTGAGGGCCTCCAGAAGGCTTCTGAGGGCTCAGTGAGATGGCTTAGCAACAGGCACAGCCCAGAGCTGTCAGCATCGCCTCCCCCGGCGGGCTCGTTCCCACCTTGTTGCAGTGCCAGCCCCCCAGGAGGCACTCAGGTTCCCATTGAATCAGTCCTGCTTGTAGGTGTGAAGGCCCATTTTACAGATGGGGACTGTGAGGCCAGCCTGCCATGCTGTGCTGGTAGGAAAGCTGGCACGTGGGCCCAGTGCTCTCTGGAATGTTAGGGGCTTCAGTGGTGTTCATCCTCAGTCATTAAAAATATTCCTCTCGCCCGGCTGGCGTGGCTCAGTGGTTGAGCATCAACCTACGAACCAGGAGGTCACGGTTCGATTCCCGGTCAGGGCACATGCCCAAGTTGCAGGTTCGATCCCCAGTGTGGGGCGAGCAGGAGGCAGCCAATCAATGATTCTCTCTCATCATTGATGTTTCTCTCTCTCCCTCTCCCCTCCTCTCTGAAATCTATAAAAATATATTCCTCTCGCCCTGCTGGTGTTGCTCAGTGGTTGGAGTGACAGCCCGCTCACTGAACAGTCACGGGTTCGATTCTTGGTCAAGGGCATGTACCTGGCTGGATTGCAGGTTTTATCCCCGGCTCCAGGGGCGCATGTGGGGATCAAAAGCAACCAATCGGTGTTTCTCTCTCTTTCCTTCCCCTCCACTCTCTTTAAAAAAAATCAAAGAAAAAAATATCCTCGGGTGAGGATTAACAAATATAAATATCTCCCTCTCTCTGAATTGTCCATCACCAGAGGAATAGTCAGATCAGGCACATTCAGGCGCAGGAAGGAACCAGAGCCTGAGTCAGGTAATGTCACTTCTCGGTGCCCGACTCCCCAGTTGTTCCATTACATTTAGGATAAAATCCACGAGTGTCACCGTGGCTGGAGGGAGGGAGAGAGGAGGAGAGATCAGATGTGGGACCAGGGAGGCACCCAGCAGGCCCTCCTGAGCCATCGTGAGGATTTGGTTCTTTATTTGAAGGGCTCTGGGGGCTGGCTAAGAGCCCATGGGAAGAGCAGTTGGGGGTCACTGAGGCGGGGGGCCTGGCTGAGTGAGGGGCATGGAGTGGGAGCCGTGGAGCTCAGAAGCAGGGAGGCGGGGGACCAAGGGGAAAGAGACTCCAGGCTGGCTCCTGGTTTTCTGGCTGGAGCGTGGAGGGGATGTGGTGGCATTATGAAGGGGAGACAGGAAAAGGAGGGGGCTCCCGGGGAGAGGATGAGTTCGGTCAGGCGGGAATACATAGGTCAGAACTCGGAGGAGTCCGAATCGGGAATGTCCCTGCCATGGGGGACGGGACGGGATGGGAAGGGGACAGAGAGGAGAGGTGGGGGTGGCAAGGATAAGGTGGGAGGAGGACAGGAGCAGCCAGAGCCGGTGAGAAGCCAGCGGGGCGGACAGTGGTTCAGGGTAGACGTGGCTCAGGATAGAGTGGGAGAGTGGACAGACTTGACCTTTGGATGCAGAAAGGTGGGCCCACGGACGGGTGTGGTGTGGTGGGCTCCACGCTGGTGTGGGTTTGAGAGAGCGAGGGAAAGGGGGGGGGGCAGGGCCTCTGCTCCCCTGGTTCTGGAACCGTCTCCAGGACGTACCAAAAGTGGCCCACAGAGGCCCAGGAAGCACACCCGCTTCGGTTCCTGGATCGGATCCCGGAACAGAGGAGGGTGTCCGTGCGAAACTGCTGAGACCCAAATAGAGCCTGGGGTGGAGTCGGTGCTCCCCCAGCGTGAATGGCTTCGCTTCGGTCAAGCTCTGTGGTTATGCAAGACGCAAGCACGGGAGGAAGCCGGGAAGGGTGTGTGGGAACTCTGGCACTGTCTTCGCAGCTCTTCTGGAGATCTGAGATTATTTTTAAAATAAAAAGCTAAAAGCAAAGAGGCCGAAGCAGGTGAGGAAGCAGCATAGAAAGTGGGACTCCAGTTTTGTCCCCTCGATGCATCTGTGCGTGTCCTATGTGTGCACAACACAGGAGCCGAGAAAGGCTGGGAAGGGCGCAGGCGGAGGCTTTGGGACGCAGGTGATGGCTGCCTTTTAGTTTACAGCTTTGTGTACATGCTGATCTCTGTTTTACAAAGAGTAAAAATAGTCATAACGTTTACGACGAGAGAAAAACAGGCTTTTTCACATTTTTGGATTTGGAAAAACAGATAGAATGTTCCCCTGGCCCCGTGCCTTCCCCCACCTGCTCTGGTCTCCCTGGCGAGTCAGCCTTGTCAAGTGAGTGAGTTGTTCTTCAACAGACAGAGCTTTGGGGATTGTCCGTGGGGCTCTGGGGGTGGAGCACAGAGAATCCTCGGGGCCCCCTCCCCCCCCTCCCCGGCCCGTCCCCCTCACACCACCGCCACCGTTTCCAGAGCAAGAACCAAGGCAGGCCCACGCGGGCCCTGGGGACTCAGTGTTCAGTCTCTTTGGAGGTTGGGAGACAGATTGCAACCTCATGAAAGGAACAGACTCAGGTGACCCGGCGAGAAGGGTGTCTCCCGCTCTCGGGAGAGCGCAGCGCCGGCACAGGGCGTCTGCACTAAAGGACGGGACACTCTGGAGGCCTCTCCAGCTCAGGCTCGGGCTTCTCGGGTGCACGTGGGCCGAGACGTCTGTGTTCTCACGGTCTCCTGTCCCCCTCCGACCACAGGCATCTCTGGGAAGAGCCAGATCCTTTTCGCTCTCGTCTTCACTACCAGGTACCTGGACCTGTTCACCAACTTCATCTCCATCTACAACACAGTCATGAAGGTGAGGGGTGGGGGGAGCCATGGGGGGGCCTGCGGAGGCCCCCCACACCATGAGACTACGCTGGGGAACTCAGGCTGTGGAGCCAGGCAGACCTGGTTTCAGTCCTGTCTAAGGAAGAAAGGCGCCCTGGGAGGGAATCCTACCTTGTCTGGCAGGGCTACTGTGAAGATGACATGAGGGAGCATAGGTAAAGTGCCTAAAACCCACAAGCTATTTAAGCAAAGTGAGTTCCCTTTCTCCTCCATTATCAGAGATGCCCCTTTGGGATCCCAGGCATCTTGTTCCTAGGATTGGGGGAGGAGGCTGCTGTGGGTGCGAACTTGAGTGTGAGGGCCTGAAATCACTGTCTCTTTAAATTCAACACACAAGTGGTGCCGTTTCTTCTCTGCCCAAGGGTCTGACTTGTGCCCAGCAGACCAGCCCTTAGCATGGCTCCTGAGGTCGAGGAACTGTGAAGAGGTCAGGTTCCACATTTTTGTGACATGAAGAAGCGATCGCCTACCCTAGCTGGTTTGGCTCAGTGGCCAGAACGTCGGCCTGCGGACCAAAGGATCTAAGTTTGATTCCGGCCAAGGGCACCTACCTGGGTTGCAGGCTCCTCCCTGGCCTGGGCCCTGGTTGGGGCGTGTGCAGGAGGCAACCAATCAATGTGTTTCTCTCACATCGATATTTCTCTGTTTTTCCCTCTCTTCCACTCTCCCTAAAAAAAATCAATGGAAAAATATCCTCGGATGAGGATTGAAAAAAAAGAAGTGACCACCACGCCCGTGATTCATTCGCTCATTCCAGCATTTGTTTTGTGCTGGGTCCTGAGTCAGGGGCTGGGAATTCAGAAGTCAACAGGACCCTCTTATAGGAATTCCCTCCTAGGGAAGACACTGTTGCACAGACATTTACAGAACATATGATCATGGGCAGCAGCTAGTATTTTTAGCTATGGTGACAGAGTATGTGTGCCTCATTCTGGTGAGAAAAGACTTCAATGAAATAACCTGAATTGTTTTTTTGTTTATTTTTAAACCTCACCCAAGGATATTTCTTCCATTGCTTTTTAGAGAGTGGAAGGGAGGTGGGGAGGGAGGGAGGGGGAGAGAGAGAGAGAAACATTGATGTGAGAGAGACACATAGATTGGTTGCCTCCTGCACAACCCCAACCGAAACCTGAGGTCAAACCCATGACCTTTTGGTGCCCAGGCTGACACTCTTATTATTTTTATTTTTATATATTTTTATTGATTTCAGAGAGGGAGAGGGAGAGGATCATCAACGATGAGAATCGTCAATCAGCTGCCTCCTGCACGCCCCCTAGTGGGGAATCCAGCCTGCAGTCCAGCAATGTGCCTTGATGGGGAATTGAACTGTGACCTCCTAGTTCATGGGTTGATGCTCAACCACCGAGCCATACCAGTCGGGCACTACAAATAACCCTTTAGGCCAGTGTAGTCCCAGACCAGCACCAGCAGCATCACGTAGAAACTTGCTAGAAATGTAGATCCTCAGGCCCACGCAGACCTACTGAAGCAGAAACTCGGCAGTGAAGGGGCAGTCAACTATGTGATTTTGATGCATCTCCAAGTTTGAGAACCTCTGGCCCAGAAGGTTTGAGGCCAGATCCTACAATCATTACATGCTGGAGGACAGCTGCTGCTAATTAGAAAGAGAACGTTTCCGAAGGAGCAGTGACCCATGGGCTGAGGGGCGTTAGTCCTTGTGGAAGAATGCTCACAAGTCACTGATGCGCACCTAAAAAGCTCCAGTTTTAAAAGTGCCCTGTGATGCCACTGAGGAATCCTCCCGCAAAGACCAGTCCTGGCCTTTTGCCTGGGCACCTCTGAGTCCTCACCGTAGCACCATCAGTCCCAATTAGAAGCATGAAGTTACTAACAAGGGTCATTAGCTTCAGGTTCTAGGCTACTGGACCGAAGAGAAATTGCAAACACATTTCACCTCTTCCACCTTAAGGCAGAGCACTAGCCATGAGGCTGGGTAGGTCCCAGCTCAGGGTGGCCTTGAAGCCCAGCCAAGTGGCTGGGAAATGACTTCATCGATGCCCCCGTGTCTCCCCCTTTGCAGCTGGTGTTCCTCCTCTGCGCCTATGTCACGGTGTACATGATCTATGGGAAATTTCGGAAAACGTTTGACAGCGAGAATGACACGTTCCGCCTGGAGTTCCTTCTGGTCCCAGTCATTGGCCTCTCCTTCCTTGAGAACTACAGTTTCACTCCCCTGGAGGTAAGCAAGGGGCCCCGGGACCGATTCTCAAAGGTAAACGTGCGCCCAGCGTCCTGCCCTCGGGACTCGTGCCTGGGCCTGTTTTATTGCTCAGATTGTTCAGCGGGAGCAACAAGCTGTCCGTACCGGCCCATTTGGAGACGGCCCGTTTCCCGTGGTGTTCAGGCACAGAGCCTCACAGCACCACCTCCGGCTCTGGAGACCTGTCCAGCCGGTGGTTAGTGGGCACCAGAGCACAGCCCAGGCCAAGGTTTAACTCTGTAGCCTGAGCTGTAGCCCAACAACCTGGGGCAGCAAGCACCTCGCGCGGTTCTGATGCTGGTGTTCTCAGCCTACATTGTGAGAAGCCATGGCTCAGTCCAGGGGAGTTTACACAATAAAATTCTGCGGTTAAAACACTGAGCTATGTCCATGCTGTTGTGGGGGGGAAAGCTTCTTAAAGAGGTTGAATGATACATATTAAAAATTATTCAGAATGATTTTTTACTTCACTGTATTCTCCCCAGTAAACATATTTTAGAAATTCTTTTAGAGAGATGGGCCTCTTCTTGGTCTTGACCAACCTCCTCTGGACACTTCTCCCGTTGGCTCAGGTCCTCTGGACTTTCTCCATCTACCTGGAATCGGTGGCCATCCTGCCCCAGCTCTTCATGATCAGCAAGACCGGAGAGGCCGAGACCATCACTACCCACTACCTGTTCTTTCTGGGCCTGTACCGGGCCCTCTACCTGGCTAACTGGATCAGGCGGTACCAGACTGAGGGCTTCTATGACCAAATTGCAGTGGTGTCTGGAGTGGTACAAACCATCTTCTACTGTGACTTCTTCTACTTGTATGTGACCAAAGGTAGGTGCTGGGAGAACACAGCAGTGTTGCTGGCACCTGCCATTCAGTGTGAGTAGATATGGAAATGTGAACAGAGGCAAGTCTCTGCCCCTCATGGTGCTTATTTTAATGGGAAGACATATACAAGTGTTTTCAGGAAATGGTGCTATGAAAAAAATAGTACAGAGGGGATATGCTGTATGTACAGTGCTAACCCTGTGTATGGGCAAGACTGCTATGAGGCAAGTTTGGAAAATAAGGAACAGCTTATATATACTATATAAGCCCCAAGGCAAGAATCTGCTTAGTAGAAAAAGGCTAGTGGGGTCCAGATCTATAAACCTGGGGATGTCAGAGGCCAAGTGCGTCAGTCACACAGAGACATATAGGCCAGGGTGAGGGGTTTGCAGTGCATTCTGATTACAAAGGGCTGCTGTTGGAGTCACTTAGACCAGCGGTCCCCAACCTTTCAGACCTCATGGACCACCAGTTGGCAACCACTGATTTAAACCAATCCACCAGCTGCCAAAGCAGGATAGTTTAGAGGCAACTGCAATGGTTGGGAAGAAGTCATTAGTGGAGAGAAGTGGACAGTTCTCTTGGGAGTAGAATGAGGGACTGCTGATGGACTGATGTTTGAGATGTGGACTAAAGGAATCAGGTGTTAAACTTACAGCATAAGGGAGTGGTGGTGGGAGTATCAGAAACCAAGATGGGGGTCAGTGAGATGTAGTTAACTTGCAGTGAAGTTACCCTCTTGGCTTTTTCATCTGAACAGCTGTGAACTGGGCATTAGAGATACTAAGATTATGCACAAAGTTATAAAGGAGTCTACTCATCAGTATGTTTTTTTTTTTTTCCCCTGAAAGAACTAATATTCCATCTCTCTTATTTTCTTCTAGTCCTTAAAGGAAAGAAGTTAAGTCTTCCAATGCCAATTTGAGGGCCCTCAAAGAACAAGGATATGAAGCCAACTATTTGAGATGTTCTATCAAGCAACTTAATACAGGACTCAGACCAAATGTTAAAATTAAAGCCAGAAAACTGTTCAGTGTGCATGGATTTCAGCAAAGCACTGATCATTCTATCTAGAAGACCTCATCAATAATACCTCTCTTACAGAGGTAACACTTGGGCCAATTACATAAAAATGGTGACATTTGACATTCTAATGTCAACAGGAACATCAAACCTTAGTTGGCTAACTCACACATGGGTCAAATAAACTACGGCCTCTAAGGCCCTCGTGTGAAGCAAAGATGTCCCTCTGAGTACAAAGCACCAAATTTACAAGCTCTGGCAAGACTTAGTTTCATGCTCACCTTTAAAATCAACTCAGGTCTTACTGTGGCTCATGGTAGTTCCACACTCAGCATACTTTAACCCAGTTACAATCTTAGGTCAGTACTGTTAGCATGACGACCATTTACTGATGAGGAAACATACCCAAGCCCCTTTACCCTACTAGGTCTTGTTTTTTGCTTTGTGACTCAAATTTGCATTAACACCAATCAATCCCACCTCCCTTTCACATTTTTAGGTGCTAATAACTAAGGCAATTTCCATCCCAACCCGTCTTGAAGCAAATAAAAAAATGTAAGAGGACCACCATTGGCTATAGTCACAATTTTTAAGTAATAAAAAGCTCACACTTTATTGTCAACAGTGTTTATTTATACCTACAAAAGAAAACAAGATGGTATCAAAAGGACAATTTACAAACTAAGAATAGTAACATAGCTCTTAGCATCCTGTGCCTGGACATCACACATCTACAATCTTTCAAGTCTTAACGCAACAGGAATGTGTTCGGAGACCAGCAAGGATATGAATAGAGAGCACTGATCCCAAGCAAAAGCCACCAACCTTTGAGATGACAGAACTCCACACAATGAATTGTTGAGGGATTGGGGAGAAGCAGCCCCATAGCTTAATGTTGAAATCCTTTCCCTAAGGAGTTTAACCATGACCGCATACCTAGCATCAAATGAGATCCTGTTGCCTGTGCTCTGAAGCTAAGGCTAACCCTGAATTGTGAGCGTCAGGCATAGAGGCAGAAGGTTACTCTAGATTACAGGACAACCCTGCTAGGTTCCAGCTGTGCTCAGGCCACAACAGCTTTTGGGATTTGGAACATGCTATTTTGACTATATGATTACAATATCCCTGGTGGAAAAAAGGGAGGCAAGCAACAGACAAACTATTTATTGCTTGCTTGCCCAGAGACCTTTCCTAAAAAGGGACGCTTCTCAGACCTGCAAGTGAGTATGACAGCCCCTCTGGTGGCACCTGTTTTGAAAAAAAAAAAAATCAGAATTCTCATGTAGAAATGCCTACAATCGACTGGTCAGTGCTTAAACAAAAACATTTTTTTAAGGAGGGCAAGAAGAAAACACTTTGGTTTAAAAGCACAGAGCAGTTTTGCCATGTTTCTCCTGTGCCTACTACCCTCTTTCGGCCTCAACTTCTATTAAGGGGGGAAAAGAAGTTAAGAAAAAAGAAAGGAGTAGGGGAGAGGTGTAGGGGTGGGCAAAGATCTCACATGCATATATTTCAGCTTATGCTCACAACCTACCTGTATGTTGTATATTCAACCACTTTCAGAACCTCAGAAACAAACCCTTCTCTCTCCCTTAATTTCAAAAGGAAAACAAAAACCTCAAGTATTTAGATATTTGGATCTTACAAATGAGCACGCACTCAGGCCTTAGCCAAAAATGCAGTGGCCCCTTCCCCCTTCAACTACACTGTGAATGAGCAATGCTGATGACAGTATTAATTACGTCTGACACTAGATGACAGGTTTCTGACTCTGTCTGATCTCCCTGTACTGTTATAGCGAACACGAGCGCAGAAAAGTCTTTCCAGGTCTATTACAGGTAGTCTCAGTGAAACAGTCAATGTTATCATGAAGGGGACAAACTCACCTACCTTCAGATGGAGGAAAAGGAAAAGGACTTAGGTTATAGTCCTCGGTACCTTTTCGTAAGCACTACCTACCTGTAGAAAGCTGAGTGCAAAAGGATGTCAAGGAAAATTTGCACCCACAGCTGTTACAAAGCACAGCAGACAAAAGTATGAAGAGAGTAAGAGTTCTTTCCTAATAAACCCTTAAGATTCTTTATTCACGATAGCTTGGCCAAAAGGGCTGAGTAGCTGGCAAAGAGTTGCTTTTATTCTAGCTCTATAGTTAAAAAAAAAAGAAAAAGAAAAAGTTGCCCATTGAGTATACTGTTTATAATTAAAGGTGGTTTTTACACTGCAGGTGAATGCACTTAACTGGTTAATAAATTTCCAGTGAGCATTTATGTTCATTCTGTGAACAGCAGCTGTCTGGTTGAAAAATGAATTTCACAGATGGTCCCTGTTTATATGGGGAAGAAAAATAGGCAGCTTCCACCCAGATGCTGAGATGCTCCTTTTAGCCATTGCAATAAACACTTGGGTTTTTAATTTAAAAGATACACTTAAAATACTCAGACTTGGCAATTCAATTTCTAACCTGACACTAAAATGATTATTTTTTAGTCACTGGGAAGGGGGAGGCCAGATTGGGAGACAAAACCAATTAGGAATTTTTCAAAACTGTGAATGCACTTAAAAAGCAATCAGCCAAAAAGACAATGGCAAAGCACTGTCTTAAAAACTCATCAGGCCTGAGGAAGCCTGTTCCAGCTTGGGAGACATTAAAACCGATTACGGAAAACACGCAGGGAACTCTCTCTCGGTTTTTTAACTCAGTAATAGGAACAATTTAAAGCACAGATGCCATCTTCTTCTGCAGAATTCAACCCTTTACCCTCCCCACCCACCCCCAACTCAGGACAACAAAAAGGACTCCCATAAAAAGGGCCTAATACCTTGCTTTTTCTTTTAAGATGAAAAATAGCTCAAATATCCTCAACATGCAAGAAGTTGGGGGGGGGATCTCTTCCAGTCAGCTATATATATGTATTTTTTACAAAAACTATTATTACAGACTGGATCAATTTGGCGGGCAGAAACCTGGCAGTGAATTCTAACTAATCTGCATAAAAGACAAACCACAATGGTTGGGGGGGGGGGGGGTTTAAAAAGAGAAGGGGAACAGAAAAAAAGGGAAAGACAGCGTTCCTTTAAATGTAGTAAGTCTGCACAAGTCACTACCACTTGAGTGGTTTCATTTACGTGAAGGAGGAGGGGGAGGAGGAGGAGGAGGGTACTGGTAGGCAGTCTGCCCCATGTAACCTATCATACTGGTAGCTCCAGGAGGCTGTGCAAACTGCTGTGACATCAGTGGCTGTGGCTGCTGCCCAGACCGGCCTAGCCCACTAAACTGCTGGCTAGAGCTCTGTGAACTTCTCCCAGCTGTGGTGGTGCCACTAGCCCCGTAAGTGCCAGCGCCATATTCCTGCGCTGTATAGCCACTGGTGCCATAAGCAGCTGCACCATAGGTGCCTTGAGCATAGGTGTATTGGCCTGCTTGTGCTCCAAAGGCAGAATTTGGACTTCCATAGCCACTGCCGTTAGCATAACCAGCTCTATCGGTTTCACTACGATCCCGATAGCTTGCAGAGTCTCTCCGGCCACCATCCTTTACTCCTCGAAGCCTCCGGTCACACTCATCCTGATACATCAGATTGGGGTTATTGGCTGAAGAAGCGGTCCGGTATCGAGAACGACCTCCTGATGAAGGATACAATGAATTTTTAATGCCAGACTTATGATGAAAACATAACCACATGTAAATGTTCTACTAGGTACAAAAGTATTCAACATTCTTTCTTGATATTTAACTAGCCCAGCCTCCAAATCAGTACTTTAATTTGAATCTTTAATGAGACATATTCAAAAGAATGGTAAACATAAAGAATTCAACTTTCTATCCATTTAGAAACTGTGTTTACTTGAGGATTACCGAGAAGCAAAATCTTAAAAATGTAAGAACAATGGCAAAGAGGTATGTGACTTACCATAGGATTAAAAAAAAGACAAGCAGCTAAGCTCATACCACCATGAAAGAAGGGACCCTCTACTAGTGCATAGTGGTTCCCAGTATTGCTTTATGGCCTAACTGCATCAGAAGCGCCTCACAAGCTTTAGGAAAGATGCTCAGGTTCCTAGCTCAATTCTAAAGCTCAAAAACCTGTATACATAAACCTCTCAGGTAATCCCAATGTAGAACTTAAATATGCATGCAATAAACTGGGGGGAAAATACCAAAATGGTAGTCAGGAGGTGTAGATTCTAGTATATTTTGCAACTAATTTTTAGATCCAATAACTTTGCCTGCTCTACCACCACACAATGGTGTAAAATTAGGTGTTAAAGTAGCCATAATTCAGCTTAATTTTGAACATACACCAGGTACTTAAAAATACAAAGGTCAATTTTATATTATCTACAGAAGTAATATGCTGGAAATGTAGGACCATCACACTGTCTTACTCAGAAGAGATTATAAAAACTATTAAGCACTGTCCTTTGTTATTGAGCACCATACTTAACTAAAGCCTTCACAGAATTAAAAAAGCAAAGCACAATGAATACAAAAAGATACCTTGGCAGTACCTGGAAAACTCCAGGACTTACCCTTACCCCCTCCTCCGCCGCCTCCTCTGTGGTCCACCAGCTGCATCAGTTTGGGATTGATAGCCTGATTAGCTTCTTCCAGCACTTTGATCAGCTCTCTGGCCTGCTTGAGGTTTCCCGGGGTGAAGAAGGTATAGGCAGTGCCCTTGTTGGTGCTGCGGGCTGTTCGGCCAATGCGGTGCACATAATCCTCGGAGCTGTTTGGATAGTCATAGTTGATCACAAACTTGACATCTTCCACATCTTCAAAGCCAGCGGTGAGTCAGTGTGCAGGTGGACGTGGCAGGGAAAGAGAAGGTAAAGGACATGCCAACAACAGGTGGAAAGCACAATGCAGATGACAGCAAGAGGAGAGAAGATTAAGTTAGTAACCACTCTGAACAGGAACAAAAAAAGACTCATCCCAACAGAGTAAAAGAGGATTAATGATTCTTGGGACATGCACAGGAAATGGCATCTTTATCAGCTGTAAAATCCTAAGGGAATCCCATCCAACCATCCAAACTCCTGCCTCTTCTGTCTGTATTTTAACCAATATAGTGACAGAAGTCACACCAAATTCCAGCTCTGTATTTTTCAAAACTGGAATGAAGAAAGTGGTACCACCATTAAGTTAAAAGGCCAAATCACTTCTACTCTGTTGGGAGAAGCCTGTCAAAATCTACAAAAAATATAACAAACTTACCTTTAAACCAGTCACAGAGCACAATGAAAAAACAAAACAAACAAACAAAAAAAACAAAACAAAAAAAACTCCATATACTTTATTATATTTTAAGGAGACTTAATAAAAGTATTTTAAAATCTTTTGCTCTTATATTTTAAAAAACCAACCAGAGCCCAAGTATACATCTAGTTTCCTTTGCAGAAACATCCAAATTATCTTTCCCTTTCAATTACAAGAGCACATTACACTAAAATTTCACTGTACTACCAAGCCCAGCTCTGCCAAATGAAGGTATTTTTGCTCAACTCAAGGTTATTTTAACTCAATACTTGCTTCAATTTATCAAAGATTGTCTATGTAACCTGGGAAATTAAATAGCCAGAGTGTGGGAAAAACCATGAAACCTTGAGACACAAGT